ACACACACACACACACACACACACACACACACACACACACACACACACACACACACACACACACACACACACACACACACACACACACACACACACCACACAGAGAATTATTTGGTTTGGGCAAGGAGGAGCCGTGGGCTAGGGTGTGACGCGAGCACTTGTGGCAGCAACGTCGCTTTGCTCTGAAGCAACCCACAGTGTGTGCATTGGACGCATGCAAGGCAGGCACGAAACCACTCATTTGAGAAACGTGAACACAAGTGCACACTAAACACGTCCATCCACCCACACGGCACGCCACGTCACGCGCCCGGTTCGCCAGTACACAGCATAACAGCACACCGCACCACACCGCAACACATGCCAACACGTGTCAACACACCTGCCGCCTGCTTTGTGAGCTGCATGGACGTAGCGAGCTGCTGCTTGTGCCGCTCAAGGAGGGCATACACGGTGCGGCTGTATGCCAGCTGCTGCTGCTGGCTCAGCGCCTCCCGCTGCCGCTGCACCTGCATCTCCACGTCCAGCTCCCGCGCAATTGCCGCCGCCATAGTCTGCCGCGCCCCAAACGACAGCTGCTGCTCCTTCAAAAAGTCCCGCACCACGGGGTCATTGCTCAGGACGATCCTCCGCGTGTCTTTCTTCACGCTGGATGTTTCCTCCAGCAGCTCCTCCACGCGTTTCTCGTGCCGCTCCGTGCCCTCCTCCATCATGCGCTCCAGCATCGCCGTCCGCTCCCGCATGGCCGTCGTCTCCGTCGCCAGCTGCTTCGCCCGCGCCCGCGTCTCCGCCACCTCGCCCTCCCGCACCCCAATCTCCTCCACCAGCTCCTCCGTGTGCGCCGCCACCGCTGCCGCATCCGTCTGCAGCCGCTCCAGCGTCTCCGTCGCCTCCGCCTGCCGTGCGGGCGCCGACTCCACCCGCGCACGCGCCGCCAAGCACTCGGCCTGCACGTCGTCCCGCCGCTGCGTGGCCTCCGCCTCAATCCCCGCCAGCCGCTGCTCCTCGCAGTCCGTCTGCGTTTGCAGTGCAGCGTGCTCTGCCCGCAGCTGCTTCTCGCGTGCTGTCGTGCGCTCGTATTCGGTGGACAGCGCCTCCTTCCGCTCCTCCAGTTGCGCCACGCGCGTGTCTGTGGCGGAAATGTCCGCCTCCAGCTTGGGCAGCACCGTCGCCGTGTCCTCGCGCACGCGCGCGTGAGTCTCGTTCACCTGCTGCAGGGCGGCTTGCACGTGCGCGTGGAGGTCCTTCTCCACCGCCAGGTCCTCCTCCATCTCCCTGCAGCGGTGCTTGAGCGCGCGGTCGTCCAGCGCCATTGTCTCCTTCAGCTCCTGCACCTGCTGCCGGTGGTGCGTCACCTCCCGCATGGTCCGGTCGTACTCGTCCAGCGCCAGCTTGTACTGCCCCTCAATGCGCTGCATCTCCGCCTCCAGCGCCGCCTTGCCCGTCTCTGCAGACGTGATGGCCGCCTCTGTCGCCCGCACCACCTGCTCCTCGTTGAACAGCGCGTCGTCCGCGGCGTGAAGCTTCCCCGCGTCGTCGGCCAGCACGCCCTGCGCACGCTCCAGCGCCGCCCGCTGCTCCGCCATCGCCCGGTCCATGCGCTCGTGCTCGCTGGAGCTGTCGCGAAGGGCGGCCTCATATTGGGCAGCGCGCTCCTCGGCTGCAGCCTGCTCCTGCTCCACTTTCTCCTGCAGAGCCGACACCTGATAGCGTCGGTGGTGATCGTATGGTGGTGATGGCATGGTGGCAGCGGTGGTGGTGGTGTTAGCGTGTTGGAATGGCGAAGAGGAACACGGTGTAGCGGTGTCGGTCGGGACAAGTTGGTAAATGCGTAAGTGGGGAACAGGGGCGGGGACAAAAGCCGGAGGGAGGGAGAGCGGAAGAGGGGGGGGGGGTTGTGGAAGGGAAGGAGGAAACAGGGGAAAGTGAAATGAGGAAGCAGGGAACAAGAAGCATACACATAGAGATCTACACACACACACACACACACACACACACACACACACACACACACACACACACACACACACACACACACACGCACACCTAACCCACACGATCATACGATGTCGCGTGCACATTTGAGCAGGGACGGGCTGTCCTCTCCATAAGACGTACACACACACACAGATCCACTCACGCAGTTAAAAAATCTCCCC